GCCTTTTTAGGCGAGTTTTAATTTTTTTAGGCATGATGCCGGGTTCAAAAAATTCTGAAAAAAATCAGTGTGAAAATAAGTTTAAAAATACATGTTTTTGAATTTTTGCGAGGTTGCCAATCATAAACTAACAAAAGGGGGTCACTTATAAGTTTTCAGGAATTTTTTAAAAATTATGGTTAGGTTGGAACATTTCGCAAAAAATATTTTCAAATACCTTTTGATACGTTTTGTATGCCCAAATTTTTTTAATAAAATTGTATCTGATAGGTCTCGTGACAAAAATAAAATATGAAAATACTTCATAAGGCAATATCTCCGAAAAGGGGTGGTGTACGGAATTAAAAATTTCTCCAAATTTTTTTTTCGGGTCAACGAACTTTTTGGTGACATACTGGTCATAATCCGTTTGGGGGCCGATTGACCCCTTCTTAACCTGCTAGAGCCTTTGGCTATCTGGGGAGTTATTTCTCGGTCCTGTTTGGTGACATTCAGATAAGCTTGCTTGATATAATATATTATATAGTTACGTTGAATCTTAGAAGGATTGCTTCGAGAGCACTCTTCGAATCCTAGAAGATCACGCTCTTCTTGATATTAAGGTCTCCGATAAATTGAATAGCCTGGAGTATGGCCCATAATTCAGCAAAGAATACCGAAGTTTCAGAGGGTAATCTATGCTTTATGACTCCATCCATACCAGGCGAGAAGACAGTTGCGCCCACAACGCCATCCTAATTCTTTGAACCGTCTATGATATATACCAAGAAATAGCATTTTGTCTGTAACGGAAAGATTTATGGTAAAAATCCGCTTTGATCAAGTTAGGATTATCCTTCTTGTCACAGCCCTTCAAGTCTTACCCTTATCACCTGAAGAGAACCGGAACTCCCATTTAGGTCTTCTGAGAGGATGAATGGATCCACATTGTCAAAAGCTTCCACTATGTCCAAAAACGCCTCAACCGTAACGGAACGTTCGAGAAAACCGGTTCTTATATCAGAGATCAAGACAGCTAAATTATCGTCACAACCTCTAAAGGGCCTGAAGCCCGCTTGAGCCTGAGGGAGGATCGGATTGGACTCAACAAACCAACCTTCTGTAGAGAATTCGCTCCATGAGTTTACACATGACATAAGAGAAATAGGTCTGACCGCCCTATTACCAGGCTTAGAAATGAATATGATCAGCGAAGTCTTCCATGAATCTGGGAAAGTACCCTCGGAAAGAATCTCATTGAAGATGGCCAGCAAACAAGTCTCGTATTCCTCAGGCAATTGATTCATCATCTTGTAGCAAATCTGATCTAAACCAGGAGCAGAGTTCCTTCGCAATGACTCAAGCGCAATTCGGAATTTCTTGAGTGTCAAAGGATCGTCTAACCACGCACATATATTAGGATTTTGATCGTCTTCCGCCTTCATGCTTGCAAGAGTCTCGGATCTGTCAAAAAAAGATAACGAGGGACATAATTTGGAGATGGCCTCCATAGAGACCTGAATAAAATCCTGTAACGAAAAGTCCAGTTGTGACGACTTTCTTTTAAAACTCTTAATCAAAGCCCAGATTCTGTTAGTAGGAGTCTTAGAATCAAAACCGCCAACAAAATTGCGCCAACCAATGCGCTTTTGTTCTGAAAGCTTCTTAGAGCAATCAACACGAGCCTTTCGAAATTCGAGATAAGTACTATCAGAAGGCGCCGACAGAAACTTTCTAATGGCTTCCTTCCTACATCTAACCGCCTCTGAACACACCTCATTCCACCAAGGCGGGAGCTCCAACTTCGCGACCTGCACCAAGGTGCGCGGAAAACGTTTTTCTGCTGGAAGAAAACCCCTAACCACCTCAAGAAGATTTTCAGTGGAACTATCATAACACTTAATCAAATCACTACCATTTAAAGCAGGAAGATTCCTAGCCGCAGAAGATAAGGCATATTTTAAATCTCGACATATCTCCGTGGAGAATGGCAATTTGTAAAAGAATCTTCTTTTAAAGCATACTTGAATGCCAACAGTAGTAATAACAGGAAAATAGTCACTCCCGAGAGTATCAGATATCACTCTGGGCTATGTTCCAAAACTTTACTCGATTAACTCTATAGAACCCCGTTTAGTGGGGGGCAGAGTAAGTCAGAGTTAGCTACTATATTGGAATATTTTGGAACAGGTTAGAGTAACGTACATGTGGCGGCATATACAATTGTACTAAAGATAATTTATTTGTAAATTGTTCATGTTGACATTCTTTGTGGTATTGTTTAATAGATTACGATCCAAGAATTTGTACCTAAGTATAAAGATAAAAAAGATTGTCGGTTTTTTTAATAGAGTCATAAACGTAATATTGACAATTCCTAAGTATAAAGATAAAAAAGATTGTCGGTTTTTTTGATAGTGTCATAAACGTAATTCGTAGTATAATTAAGGTGACGCAAACTATTTTTTTTGTGTTGATTTACGGTTATGACTTATATAAACAATTTTTTGTCAGAGAGTAACATCTTTGTGTTCAGATCCAAAATCCTATACTAATCAAAATAATCATTAAACATGATTATTAAAATATTATCAAATTTATAACCTCTGCAATCTGATACAACACTGATACTGCGATCTAATATATTCTATCAGATAGCAGAGGTTATAGATCATTGGGTTAATATTTTAATAATTATGTTTATGAGTTTATTTTGATCTGTATATGATTTTGAGCCTAAGCACAAAGATGTTGTAACTCTCCGACAGAATCGTTTATATAAGTAATAAACGTAAGAATTTATTTCGAAAATCCATATATGGATTAAATAAATTCTTACGATTATTACAATCTTCCAAATGCTAATTGGAATTATAATTATTCTCTAGATTTTTATTGTTTTGTAAAAGAAATGGAATAATTCCGCTCGTAATCCATTCCAAATAATTTTGTAATACGTATCCAGTTTATACTTCTTCTAAAATGGCGCGTTTTCCCTCAGAGTTAACTCTTCAACCTACCTTAGTAGCAAGGTTGGAAAAGTTGACTCCGTGTACATTGACTACGAGTTTTGGAACGAATAGACTCCACCCATATAGTACTTTACGCAGTGTTTCGGAACTACCATGAGTTAACTCTCTTACTCAGAGTAAGGTTTTGGAACGCAGCCCTGGAGTCACATATAAGCGCCAGATGAGGAGATACCAAGAATAAATCCAGGGTCGAAACCGAGGCAACTGAAGCTCTAAAAAAAGTGGGAATTTTCCCATTGAGTAAAAACAAATCATGTTCATCATTGATTTTATGCAGTCTTTCCCCACGCAGGATGATGAACATTGAAATCTCCTAACATAATGAAATTTTTGTGACTATTTAAGCTATTAAGCAAAGAATTAAAAAGGAGGCGGAAGTATTTTTACCAGAATGCCTATAAACATTAACAATGATTATGGAGTCTGTATGAAAACAGTAAATTTTTATCACAATGAACTCCACTGACGAATGTTCTACATCTTTGAAGTCAATAATCTCGTACTTAATGTCCGTCCTCACAATAATACAAACTCCCCGATCTCCCGGTTGAGTTATGTCTTTCCTAATAATATTAAACCCCTTATATAATACTAAGGGCTTTGTTGTTCTTAAGAAAAGATTCCTGAATACAAAGGACATCATACTCCCTCACCACCGATAACTAGGGTACTATATTATACAGGAATATGCATCCGCCATATTGGCTCCTAGTCAGTGCGGGAAGATTCGTGCCAAGCGGCAAGCAAAGATGCCGTACTACCAGACCAATATTGAAAACTATAGTATACTACAAATTTTCAGTAAAGTGTATACGAAACACGATCGTAGAAATAACAATAAATAAAATGGGCGGTTGCAATGCTCTAAATTGTAAGAATAGGAGTGAAGCCGGGTTTCAAACTTTCCGCTTCCCAACAGAAGCGGAAAGAAGAAAAAAATGGTTAATAAACTGTCGACGTGACAAGTCGATACCTTCTTCAAATTCAAGATTATACGAGATAAGTACTTATATTTATCACTAAACATTTATTTCAATTATTTAGAGCACAAGATGAGAAATGGAAAATTGAGATTATGAACCTTTCCATTCATCACAAAATGATTCAAAGACATTTTAAAATGTTTCTAAATGAATATAACTTTCCTGACATCTTCATAAAAACTTTTCTGAAACATTCGTGCTATGTATATGGATTTGCTTTATGTGAATAATAAACAAATATTTATAAGACTTTTTTAAAGGTTTTGTTTTAATTTTTTTTACAGATTCACTTTGAAAGCTCTTAATTTGAACAAAATAGACAAGATAGGTTGAAAAAATTAAAGCCAAATGCTGTACCGACGTTATTTGATGTACCAAATTCACCAAAAAGAATTGAAAGCATGAAGCAAAAAAGGTTTTTTATTATTTCTATTATTATATATATCGTTTTTTAAATTCAAATTTTTTAATTTATAATTTGTGTAAAATAAATTATAATTACGATATATATATATATATATATGACACACGTACGCGCACATATAGGTATATATTGGGTGGATCGATATATTCGTTCGGTTTTTATTAGTAATGCAAATTTTTTCCGAATATCTCCGATTTTAATTGCCTAATCGGGCAATCAAAAATGTTTTGGAAAGGTGACAGTCCGCTCTTTTCATCTGTCAAAATTGGTTTCATTGGCATTAGTTTTGTTCGTGCTACAGGCCTGTGAACATGTCGGAGAATAAGGGGCATTTTCGGCATATTTTGCTTTATTACTTCAAGAAAGGCAAGCGAGCTGCGGAGGCCCACCGAAAGATATGCGGCGTATATGGGGACGATGTCTTAACAGAACGTGCCGCTCAGAAATGGTTTGCCAAATTTCGTTCCGGAGATACGAGCCTTGAAGATGGACCCCGCAGCTGTAGGCCCACTGAGGTTGATTCGAATGATATCAAGGCACTGGTTGAGCAAGACCGGACGCTAAAGGTACGAGAGATTGCGGAGACACTTAAAATAGGTTATGGAACCGTTCAAAAGCATTTGCAACAGCTTGGCTACGTGTTCCGCCTCGATGTTTGGGTGCCGCACAAGCTGACCGAGGAGAACCTGGCCAATCATATATCCATCTGCAATTCACTTCTGAAGCGGCACGAAAGCGACCCGTTTCTCAAACGAATAGTGACTGGCAACGAAAAGTGGATCATCTACGACAACATAGTGCGCAAGAGATCGTGGGGGACCGCTGGCGAGCCGCCGATTGCCACCCCGAAGACCGGCCTGCATCCGAAGAAGATTTTGCTATCCATATGGTGGGATCATCGTGGTGTGCTGTTTTATGAGCTGCTTCCTCAGGGAAAAACGATCGATTCGAAGATCTACTGCACGCAGCTAACGAAATCGAATCAAGCATTGCGACAAAAACGTCCAGAACTGGTCAATCGCAAAGGTGTCATATTCCACCATGACAACACCAGACCCTACACCGCAATAATCACTCAGCAAAAATTAGTGTAACTTGGCTGGGATGTTTTGCCCCACCCACCGTATTCACCAGACCTTGCGCCATCCGACTACTACTTATTCCGATTTTTATGAGACATTAGACAGAAGGTATTTGAATTATATCCTATTCAAAAGTGCGTGCGTGCGTGCGTGCATAAAATATCAAGCAATAGACTCATAATCGTTATATAACGAATGGAACCACCCCCGCACCCATACCGTCAACAGAAGTTTGCCTCGACAGTACTATCATAGCAATAGTACAATCGTAGAAGTTCTGTGCCCTGTGCAGGGGGGAGGGGGGGGGGAGTGAAAGTAACATCACGTGGAAAGTTTAACGTTTCTGAACAGGGAGAGGTGTAGAATAGTACTTGATATCATACGTATATTGCAGAAATGAAACGTATATTTTAGAACTATGATTATTAATAACTTTTTAACGAAGGACGAGCGACGGGAATGGTCAATGACCTTGACCTTCTCTCAAGAAGGTTGACCCTCAGGTCAAGGTCAAGGTTACTCGGAAGTCATTTGAGGCTGACTGTGTAAAGCAAAACATTTACCCAATAGGTTTCACTACTGTTAAAAATAACTTCAACGCTTAATATCTCAAAAACTATAAGAGTCCGCCACCTAGTTACTAAGACAAAGTTGCTCAGAATCATGACCTTGACAATATATGTCAAGGTCAAGGTCATCGGAGCTGGGTCCCCTAAAGCGCATAATTACCATTTTTTTTTAATTATTTGTGTATTATATTATTTGATGTATCATTTTATCCTTTAATATTTGATGAAAAACAAGGATAAAATAATACGTCATACGCATTACACTTGCGGAAATGATACATACACTAATACATATACAATCATATAAACACATAAACCATCAGTTTTTAATATTTCCATTGAACAGATATATCACAATTATACAGACGTTGACATACAGATTCGTGGGTCATCGAAGTGCAGCAGTTCCCGTACGATTGTCAAGGTAAAGGATGCAAGGTCGTGGTACAACTTCGGATGGGTGACCGTTTGGGAAGCATCATGAAAAAAAATTAATTCTCGAATTTAGAGAAAAAATTTTTTTTTCACAATTTTATTCTAAAATTGATGCTAATTAGTAATACTTACTTTAACAATCTAACAGTAATTAGGGAAAACTGACCGGTATTCTACTTAAATTTCTACACGAGTATATACGAATTTACTACTGCATTATTGCACTAGTATATGTCAGAAAGCGTTAATATGAATTCTGTTTAAAAAAGTGAAAAAACGTCATTAAACCGTTTAATTCACGTCATTCCGGAAGTTAAAGTAACGTCAAATAATGACGTCTTTAGTCTGTGACTTAGGACCGTCAAAAACACGTCATTTTTAGGTTAATTTTGAGAATAAATGACGTAAAATTCAACGTGATTATCACGTCATAATGACGGGTGTCTGCTACCTGGGATTGTTCTGCACACGGAGCGGTGAGGTGAGGGGAACTGCAAAAGCTAGACAAAGGCGATTCGAAAATCAGCTGAAAGCTGCATTTGCCCCCCCTCCCCCCCCCTCCCCACCTCACCGCGTGCAATCCAAGTGCTCCATGATGGCCGAATAGCACTGTTCTGTGCGCGGTGTGGTGTGGTAAGGGGGACAGCGAAAGCTGGACGAAAACTATTCGAAAATCAACCGAAAGTTGCACCCCCCTCACCTAACCGGTCCGCTCGCAGTTCAAATGCCCCATGACGATCGAGTGGTGTAGAACTAGCGCCACATTTGCCTCTTGCGGCAGGAATGTCAGAAGGACATCGAATGGAATGTGGTCGACGAACATAATGATGACAATAACGACGTATCTTAAAAATAAAACGTGAAAATTTACAGATTCGGACTTTGAGTCGCGATATCTTGGCTCGTAGGACACGTAGAGAAAAAATAAAAGCATTTTTATTATACAATTTAAGCAATTGCTATCGATTGAGCGTATATAGAACTTGATCCGTTCAGCCGTTACTGAGATCTGATCATCTCAATCCCCTGAAATTCTCAGATTCGCGTAAAGGAGGCACGGCAGTGCCGCGGTGCTTGGCTTAACGCCGAGACACTACCGTGTCTCCAGATTGTGTGAATTTTATATACTGCGTATGTAGTCCCCCCAAAAATCGCGAAAAAAATTTCTGCTTAAATAAACGTTCTGCTTTAATATACACTTAAACAAACGCTTGAAAAGTGTGTATGATTGTACTGTTACTATAATTGTACTGTTGGGGGAGACCTCTACCGACGGGGCGGGTGCGGGAGGGGGACGGGCCGTCGGTCCGCCCCCTTGCACCCGCCCGTATATGCGCGCGCGCGTGTGTGTGTGTGTGTGTGTGTAAAATATCAAGTAATAGACTCATAATCGTTATATAACGAATTGAATATACACACGCACGCACGCACGCACGCACATGGGCGGATGCAAGGGGGTGGCCTTCGGCCACCCTAGAGACCTTCGAGTAAGGTATCAGACAACAGCGTGAAAGATGCGGATTGGCTGCCGCCATTAGTGGGATACTTCCGTTGGTTAGGTTAGTATGCTTTCCTTTTAGAGGACACACTCGACAGAAACATCGTTCTATCTTTATCATTCGTTGAATGTTAAGAAGGATAGAACGACGTTTGTGTCGAATGTGTCATCTAAAAGGAAAGCACACTTAAGTAATTGCTGATTTAGTTGCTCAGTATTGTTTGTTTTAAAATGTGGGTATTATACGTATGTATGTACGGCTGGACAATATAGTTTATATATTTTTTTAAATCATTGCGAAATGCGATACTGTGAAGTTCCAAATTGCAAAAATTTAAGTAGAAATGACCATATAATGCGCCATTTCCCGAAATCTCCTACAAGAAGAGAAAAATGGATAATCTATCGTACCTCTGGTCGTGTCGGTTGAACACCTAAAAAGTTTTTATTGCCAGATTCGTTCGTTTCGTGCAAAAACGCGTCGAATGAGTGTATTTTTATCAAAATTTGAACTGAACGGGGTATTCTATACCTTTACCATCCATTTATTCTAGCTCGTTTAATACAAGTCTTAATAACAATGCATTTGAATACTCCCGCACATTAACTATAACGTACTTCCGGTATCCCTCTAATGACGATCGTTGTCTGATTGTCTGATCCCTTAAGGTAAATGTCCCAGTTTGTGACCTTATAAGAAAATCGCATGAGTTAATACGAATGAAAAATACTCTAGAGTGATTAAAATCAGGAATCAATTATACCGAACTCAAGAGTAATCATTTTTGTATCGAAAAACATGCTTTACTGGGGTTGTAAACATAATCTAATAAATATAAAAAATAAATAGCAAACTATGTAAATGTAGACATTAGTGACCGCTTGATTTTAATTTTGCCCTATTTGTGACTCCCCGGTTAGTGACTGGTGCATTGGATCGAATGTATCACCATGTATCACTTAGTGACCGACGCACATGATGCAATACACACGATGTCCATTGTAAGTGACCTAGCCAAAAGTGATAGCATTGTCACCAAAATTTTCCTTCGAGCATACATCGAATATTTCCGTTTATTCGTCCAAAATGTAACTCATACGTGTTTAGAAACATATGGAGATGAGTATTAATTGTTATCTTTTTGAAAAAAGCAACGAAATTTAATGTTATAGCTAGTTCTCTTGAGACAATCACAGATAGAAACATGCGTGTTTTATTGAACCGATTTGTCATATTCACTTATATACTCAAAATTACCAACCTTTTTCAGAATTCACACATAGCACAATATTTATTCACTTGTTCACTAAAACTTTATCACAAAAACTGTTTATGAACGTTTGTCTACGACAATATGACACAGCTATGACTTTGCCGTGACAAACGCCATGTCTACCAACCGTGGCGACAACAACGTACTCGATCTGCACTTAATAACGATACGGGCACCTTATTTCACATTTTCATGAGTTATCTGTTTACCAAATATCACTACATTACATATCAAAACGATGGATTATTAATTGAAAAACGTAATAAATATTGTTTTCAGACATAAATTACTTGAAATTTCTGATTAATTACATATAAGTCTTAAAGTGGTCACAAACAGGGTCATGGTCGCAAACTGGGACATTTACCTTACTTGAGGGTCCCTAGGCCACCTCCCCGCACCCACACCGTCAACAGAGATCTGCCCCGACAGTACAATCATAGCAACAGTATAATCGTAGAAGTCGTGTGCCCCTTCGCAGGGGGTTGGGGGAAGTGAGAGTTACTTCGCGTGGAAAGTTTAACGTTTCTAAACAGAAGGAAATGTAAAATAGTACTTGTTATAATACATATATGGCAGAAATTATACGTTAATATGTATAATTTCCGAGAAATGGTACGTTAATTTTGAAACTTTTTTTGTTAATAACTTTTTAATGAGAGACGTATGGGCAGGACATCCATCTTGTTGAAACCACATATGTAGACGTAACTGAAGTGGAATATCTTCAAGTAAACGTGGAAGTTTACGTCTCTCATTGCTCGTCATCAACTGAACCGCATATTTCCCGGCCGATGGATAGGTAAACATGGTCCACATAATTGGCCACCAAGGTCACCGGACCTTACAATTTTAGATTATTATTTGTGGGGAACAATAAAAGACCTCGTTTACCGCGAACGACCTACGACTGCAGAAGACATGAAAAACAGAATTCGACAAGCCATTCAGTCTTTAGATTCTGCCGAAATTCGTCGGGCGACCGATGATTTCCGACGCAGGGTAACAGCCTGTATAAATGCACGTGGCGAACATTTCGAACATCGAGACTGAACAACATGCGAATACACAAAGGTGACGGCAAGGGGAACCACCTTATAAAAGCACCCCGATGAAGGTGACGGCAAGGGAAACCACCTTAAAAAAGCACCCCGAAGAGGTGTAAGTCCGACCTTGTGACCTCCACGTGGTACACCTCGGGTAACACTAATACAGGCGGCACCGATTATTTAACTT